ATCATAGCTTTCATTCATACATACATACATACATACATACATCAATTTGGTTCAGATATGACCCTGGCCCGACGATTCCAGTGATGTCACGTTGATTTTCTTCAAAAAATTAGGAATGACCTTTGACCGGTGAATTAAAGAACCCATATTCGTAAATATTCTGCACTAACGAATGTGCGTGCACAGTTGCAGATTCTCCTGCAGTAGTTCCACAGACTTGGCACCATTCATCGTTGCTCTTTGGAAGCAAGAAGTAGGGTTCAGATTTTATAAATTTCGGCAAGACCCTACAAATCATCTCATTTGGTGGTTTCTTCGTAACATGAATTGCAATAACTGAACAATACTAAATAAAAATTAGTAGGAGACATGATCAGTGGAACGAGAACAGTCAACTTCCGTAGATTAAATAAAGGGTTCAATTCAGAGTTCCCAGAAGTTTACTGTTGTGGCCTTGTTAGGACCAGAAATAAACACACAAGAGGGGAATTGAGGTAAACAAATATATTAACAGAAACAGTAATACAAACATATACAAACAAGAATGTTCGGTCCGACTGTCAGAGCTGACTACTGGAAACTTCCCTCTTCAAAAGGCAGTACCTGCTCCTATTTATAGCTGGGAGCGTCCATGCGTGCATGGGTAAATTACCATAACAGTTATCCAGATCGATATACACTTGAGGAAGGCCGGAGAGCAACACGGCCGAAATGTGATAACAAAAGGAAAGATGAGTACAATTGTCCGAAGATAAATAGTGTAAATAATAAATTATATACTTTTCATGAAATATCCTACCAAAGGGTCCTAAAATGTTTCTTTTACGCATTATGTACTACTAGCAGTAGAGCCCGGCATTGCCCGGGGATGTAACAGTAAGAGATAGATCAAGTATCGACCATAATAAAGACTGAAAAATAAAATTGACAAAGATTATTGTTTAAGGTTGACGGACACGCATGTCTTAATTAGTTTTTTGTTTTTTTGTATTTTTTGTATTTTTTTACGAATTGGTCAAACCCAAACTCAAACAAAAGCATTGTTTTCAATCATTATGAGTCTACCGATTGAATAGAATTTTATTATAAACAATTGTCTTGTAAATGGAATTTTTAAAGCATTCTGAATGTAAAAATAAAGAAAAAAAAGTGTGCAAGGCAATAAGAAGCACTACCTGCCCCAAAAAAGTGAAGTTTTGTTGAAATCGGTTGAAAAATGTAGGAAATCCGATTCCATATATAAACGAACACACACACACACACACACACAAACAACCTGGGTTTTATAATAAGTATAATTCGATATGTGTTGTCCCCCTTTCATTCTCGTGATGCCTCTTAATCATGTTTTCAAATTGATTTCGTGCAAAAATAATTGTGTTTTTCCAATTTTTAGCGCTGTCAGAACCACCGCAAGGTAATTTGACGTAGTCCTGTGAAGTTTTGTTGAAATCGGTTGAAAAATGTAGGAAATCCGATCCAATATATAAATGAACACACACACACACACACACGCACACACAAACACACACACACACACACACACAAACAACCAACCTGGGTTTTAAAATAAGTATAACTTGATATGAGTTGTCCCCCTTTCATTCTCGTGATGCCTCTTAATCGTGTTTTCAAATTGATTTCGTGCAAAAATAATTGTGTTTTTACCAATTTTTGGCGCTGTCAGAACCACCGCAAGGTAATTATACCTAGTCCTGTGGAAGTTTTGTTGAAATCGGTTGAAAAATGTAGGAAATCCGATCCAATATATAAACGTACACACACACACACACACACACACACAATCTGCGTTTTATAATAAGTAAGATTAATAGACTAGATTCAAAAGAAACCATAACTTTAATCCTGATTTCAACTGTCCAGGTTTCATGTTGCCAGACGCTTGGATTTCATAACTGCAATTAACCGTGATTTACGAGCCGGCTTGAATGATTTCAGACGGGAAGACTTGAAATCAGCATAAAACTTGTAGAATTTTGAAGCAGAGAAGTATGCATCTTCTTATATGAACTCGGGAACGTGTAGCAATACGCCCCACAAAATTCTAATCTTTAGCACCGTTTTTTGTTGTTTTTTTGTTTTTTTTTTGGACACCCACATCTTCCCTTATCGCTATGTCCCTGAATTTCGGAAATTCACGATAGCAGCTTTTTTTTTTTTACACTAATTTCCCATTCAGAATTACTTTCATCGCGTAGAACCACAATTTGAAACGTCGTGTTGGTGAAAACGAAAATTTTTTACCCATGTTCTAAGCTAAATTCACTGCACAAACACTATCGTAATGACTGCTAATTTTGTAATGACAAAACTATTTTGCTAATAAATCATGTGCGAATAATGGCCGATGCTATAAGAAAAAGTTATTGCATCAAGCAATCTCACATGATTGCAAAAGAAAAACAGAAAATAACCTTGTTGCAGCTAAGTGGTTTTAAACTTTTGGTAATAACTATCAATAGATAGTTTTGTTTGCAGCAAATTACAGAGTGGTGACCCTTTTCCATACGATGAAAATGGTCAGGATAAGCAGAGGACACTCCTTGATGCTTAGCGATGATTTGCAAATGATTATAATTTAAATTTTATAAATATAAGCAACTTGTTATTGATCTAAGGCCACGGAAGACTGCATTCATGTGAGTTGTAAACCTAAAAATAAAAAGTGGTTTGAATGATTCAATTTATAATAGTAACAAATCTTTATCTGAGAAGCTTAAAAAGAAGCTGAAAGATTGTGATAGACATCGCCAAAAACAAGGCAAATCGTGTGAAATATATCAATAAAAATGGAAATAATGAAGGGAAAGAAGAAATTGAAAAGATAAAGAGGAAATGATAAATAGAATAATCAAAATCATTACTTTTTAATCAAATAACATAACACCTGACACTGAAGTTTATTTAGATTTTTTTTTTTTTGGTTTATTTAGTTTGTTCTGTATTGTCTTTATTTCATTTCAAGCTTTTTCTGATCAAAGTCTGGTTTGTTAAACAATAGATAAGTCGCCTTACGTGCTGGTTTTACAGTAGAGCCAAAAAGATTGCAATGGTTCAGTTTGCAAGGCATTCAAAAAGGTAGGCATAGGTTTGCTTTACACTCGAGTAAAAATTTAGTATTGTTTCATTTCTGATGAATAGGTTTGGTTTATATTTCAGTAAAAAAAGGTCGATCTTGTACTGTTGTCAAGAAATGTCGCCAAAGGTCTGCTTTACACTCAAGTAAAATCATTAGTAGTGGTTTCGTTTCTGGCGAAAGTTATTCATTGGCCTGGTTTATATTTCAGTAAAAAAAGGTCGATCTTGTACGGTTGTCAAAAAAGGTTGGCATAGGTCTGCTTTACACTCGAGTTAAAAAAGTAGGAAACATGTGTCCATTTTTCACGAGAGTAAACAGGCATTCATAGGTCTGATTTTACATTACGGTAAAAAAGGTCGAGTTATCACAGGTGTCAAAAAAGTAACCACGAGTTTGGTTTACACTCGAGTGAAAATAAAGTAGACATGGATTCGTTTTTTCACGAAAGTAAAACAGATATTCGTGGGTCTGGCTTTACATTGCAGTAAAAGAAAAGATTCAGTTTGCACTGGTGTCAAAAAAGTAGACATAGGTCTGGTTTACACTCGAGTGAAAAAAAATAGTAGGCATGAATTCATTTTTCCACTAGAGTAAAACCGGTATCCATCGGTGTGGTTTTACAATACAGTAAAAAAAAAAGGTTCAAGTAGACAGAGCTCTGGTTTAACTAGAGTCATGAACGTAACTATAGGTTCTCTTTGCAGCAGAGTAAATTAGGGTCGTTTTAGGTGTGATTTGCATGACAGTCCAAAAGTAAACATGAATCTAGTTTATACTCGAGTCAAAACGGTCAGTTTTGTACCTGAGGCAAAATGATAGATACATGTACGGCAAGCAGATGTCCCTTTCTTTTCGGTATTGGGAGGAAGTTACCCGTCTACACCGAAATGTAATAGTTATATTCTTGACCCTAGCCGAACAGGGCAGAGATTCTTTCTGAATAACAACTCATCAGGTTTTGAATTTCTTGTAATACGTTATCAGTAAAATGATATACTTGTAAAATTTGAATACCCCAAAATTTGAATCAAGCTTCTTATTTTGTTAAATAAATAAAATAAGAAGTTTGCTTCAAATTTTGGGTTATTATTTATTTTTATTTTTAATTTTTGTCTCCTGTTATTTGCTGTGTCTATCTTGTACGCATAGCAGGATCGTGTTTCAAATCAAACTTTGTCTTGGAGTTAACACCCAGGATTCTTTCTTGTTTGTTATCCCCAACACACACACACACACACACACACACACACACACACACACACACACACACACACACACACACACACACACTTCAAATTCTGTTATAGACTTTTAAAACCCACCACACCATAATGATTAAAGTCTTTGAAAATTTAGAAGCGGACATCGTGGCCTCAAGAGCAAATTCCATGCTGTTCGCCATCGATTTTCTTCTTACAAATCTCATAATCCCAAAAGCAGAATTAACTGTTTGTAATTCTTTTACATCCATGTACCAATCCTAAAAATCTTCAGTTCTTTATTCTTTGACTTAACCGAAATGTTTCTAGTTGTTGTCTGCCATATCTTAAGATGAGGAGTGGACTTGTTTTCTCTGAACCAAATCATCCATCAAGATTTGCTGACCAAGATGCCAAATGATTGGCATCTTCATTTAGTTATCGGCTTGTCGATTTGATAAAACCAAATCCGTCAGCTTCTGTCTGGCTTACGATAGGCGCTAGAATTCGCAGGCCAATTTAACTAATCCAAAGAGAGATTCTTTTTCCTTAATATTTATCCTTTATTTTTAACATATCTCTGGAATATCTATCCTACATACGCACGAGAAGTGCAAAAAGAATGACTTAATTAGTCTCTGTTAAAACCAAGAATTTACCCTTAACTTTCATATTTTAGGACAATGAGGAGATATTCCCTA